TCTTCCCCCAACAGAGGTCCCAAAGCGAAAAACAGACCTATTTGGAAGTAAGGAGGGTAAAGTAAAACCGAGCCGAAGCCCGCCTCGGCGCCCCGGGCCTAGATGTTAGGGCCAACCCCGTTTCCCTCGGCGGGGAGGGAGGGGGCAGAGACGCAGCTCGCACGCGCCTGGTGCCAGGCCTGGGTGGCCTTCGAAGGCGAGTGGCAGGGCGGGTACTATGCCAAGAGCACGAAGGCAGGGAGAGCGAGACGAGACCTCGGTGCATACACGTGCTTACAGACGCGCCAAGAGGGAGGGAGAGACGCACACAGAGAGTTTGAATTAACGCGTGAACCAATTTCCTCCCTCTAAACGGGCTGCACCGCCTGCTCGGTGTATCTCTCGGTCCAGATGTACAAATTATGAAGCGCTGTGTGCTAGCCACTCCCAGTTAACTTGGTATCTAGGGAGGTCGCAAGCTACCCTGTCTCAGTGTTGACTTCGAAGTTTGTTGCAAAGAGAATTCAGTTTCGCTTGCTTTCTTAGAAAAGGGCTGTATTGACTCACAGGCACCTTTAGCTTCAGGCATGCTGATATCTGTCCTTGGTGTCTCCAGGCCTTGGGGTATTTAAAGATGTTTTCCATCCCTAACCACCGAGAAGCAGGCGACACACAGGTTTTCAATGCGACAGAAACGGTTGATTAAACTTATTAACATGATAGCACTCACCTGTGCCGCCACCCTTTCACTCATTATCAAGAGAGTGGGTTAAGTTGGTGATTACAGACTCATTTAAGTTTCTAGCCCACACAGTACCTGCTACGTACCAGGCTCCGTGTCTCGATTGCTGAAGCTTCGGAAAGAAAGTCCAGAATGTCCCACAGACATAGCACACAGAATTACGATGAACATATAGGAGGGATATCTAAAACTCTTGGGGTGATGATGTTAGAGAATGCATTCTAGCTACACTGATATCTGAATTAATTTTAAACACTTTGTAGAAGCTTTTTGGGAGAAAGAGCAAGGTCGGGAAGCTAAAAAAAACAAAAGACTCTTGGACATAGAACTGGGTATGCTTTTCCTTTTGCATACTGGGAAAGAGGGTCCAGAAACAGGAAGGGAATGGATCATGGCAAGCCCTGGAGTACTGCCCTCCTGGGGTCTAGGGAATCAAACCCCCAGAGAGGAAGAACACCAATACTGTCGTCTAGGAAAACTGCTTTTTTTTTTCTGGCTCTGATTTCTTGGACTCAAAACCTTAAAAAATTCTATTGGGTAAAATTTCTGAGAAAGATCAATCCTAGGTAGTCTTGACAGTTCATTAAAAGGGGAACTAGAAGGGAAATAATAGTACCAGTTTAAACTGAGTTGGACAGAAGCTTACACCAGAATCTTCTAAGCAGTATAGGCTGTTGCTATAAAGAATGCTTTTATTTTATGTGTTCATAAACACGAGTTTTTTTGCCCTAAGTCATGTGTGAAATATTTGAAAATTGGAACAATTGCTAGGAAAAAACTCATTAGAAATAACAAATATTATACCTGAGAAGCAAACAGTAAGTAATATATTTGTGGCTGTTTACCAGACATACCTCATAGCAATAACAATATACTAGCATCCCCTAACATGGGAAAACATGAATCAGGTCAAGAGACACCAAGGAAAAATCATGCAGAATTCAAGAGAGAAGAGGCTGTGTATGGATATACATGTTTATGCATGTGTATATAACACATGCATGTTTGTGTGTGTGTATCTGTAAGGTGGGGATAGGATTGGGACTATAGCTGTACAAGATAACCTTGTAGAACTATATTCTTAAAGGGATCAATTTTCAGCTGCTGGGGTGAGCAGAATCACTCAGCTTCAGTCTACCCCACCTATGGCCAGAGAGAAGGCTCAACGCCAGTTTTAGTGTCTTTACTGAGAGCCAAGAAAGAAGACAGTGTGTTTTAGCACAGAGAGCACCTGACTGGGCAGTAGGAACTCTAGGTTCTAACCCAGGCTCTGCTATCAAATAGTTGCCTACTTTGGACAAATCACATGTCTTCCCTTTGCCTCCAGTTTTCTTTTCTATGAAAATAAGGTATTTAGGGAGCTGGAGAGATGGCTTGGCAGTTAAGAGACACAGGTTCAATTCCCAGCACGCACATGACAGCTCACACCAGTCTTTAACTCCAGTTCCAGGAGATCTAACACCCACGTCTTACCACCTCAGACATGGTGCCAGATATTCATAACAGAACAACAATATAAATCACAAAATAAATTTGTATAATAAGTAAGTCATTTAGTGGGCACAGGATGACTCAGCAGGTAGAGCTGCTAATTTGAAGGCCTGACTCTGGGCCAGATCCCACAGATGGCAGGGGAGCACCAACTCCTCAGGAGTTGCCTCTGGCTTCCACAAAGGCTCCTTGGCACCACTGTGCCTGAACTCACGCACAGGCAAACAAAAACCACTAAGATTTCGGCTAGTGAGATGGCTCAGTAGGGAGAGGCACTTGTCACCATGCCTGAGGCTTTGCATTCCCCCCTAGAGCCTCTATGGTGGAAGGAGAGCTGGGGCCTGCATGTTGTCCTCTGCCCTCCACGTGTGCTCTGACATGTGAACCCATCCTCCCTCCTGAATGATAAAATGTGATCATAATTTTGAAGAAGTAGATTACCTCACAGGGTTGTGAAGATCAGACCAAATAAGGTAGTTTGAGAGTATGCTTTGTACAGTATGAAATACTATGCCAATGAAAGATGATAGTAAGACCATGGTTCCACAGACAGATTTTTTAAAACAATTTATGGTTTCCCTGAATGGAGGATTTGATGTGGATCCCAGTTAGAGACTGCTTTAATGGAGGGTCCACAGTTGACCCAGAGGCAAAGCCAAGCCCCTTCCTTCTGTGGTCTCTGAAATTCTAAGTCCGAATAGTCTATCATTCAGACCAGGTGTTTTGGCCAGCACTATAGCCTTGTTAGTCCCCACAGGCACCTCCCAAAATGTGGTCTTAGAGGTAACAGTGAGGCATTAATTTTATATTTTATAAATTTTATCAATCCAGAATCTGTTGCCAGAGCTGCTGAATCAGAAACTACTCCTTAGGATTCATAGTTAGGTGTTTGCTATAAACAGTAAGTGTATTGGACAGAAGCTTGCCTGAAACCCCTGGTTTTCATATCTAAGTATGCACAACAATTATTTATACACTAGGGACTTTGCTGCAGAGACTCCACGCTTAAGAATCTGTGTAAGCAAAAACTAGTGTAGATGGTCCTAGGGTGCCAGGAACATACTCTGAGAAACATTGCATTAAGCCACGAGGATGCTGGTCCCCATGGTTTAGTTAGAATCTTAGCAGCATCTCAGACTCTGCAGGTCAGCTACCGCAACCTCAAGTGAAGTTCTCCAAGTCAGATCTACAGATCTAAAAGTTCCCTAGGAGACTTCTGGCCTGCTGCTCTCTGCAGGCCACCATTCAGCCGGACTTCCAGGGTGCGAGTTTATGTACATACTCACCATGTGTTTATATATGCACTTACATATATGTGCACATGGACTGGAGAGATGGCTCAGAGCTTAAGAGCATTGGCTACTCTTCCAGAGGACCCAGATTCAATTCCCAGCACCCACATGGTGTCTCACAACTGTTTGTAACTGCAGTTCTGGGAGTTCCAATGCCTTCTTTTGGCCTCCATAGGTACCAGGCATATACATGGTACACAGACATACAAACAGGCAAAACGCCCATCATACATGTAACATACAGAAATAAGAGTCATTTGGGAAGAGAAACCTCAGCTGGGAAAATGCTTCTATCAGATGACTGTAGCCAGGTCTGTTGGGGCATTTCCTGATTACTGATGGAGAAATGGTGATGGAGGAGGACCCAGTCCTCTGTGGCATGGGGGTGCTGTCCCCAGGCAGGTGTTCTGAATCAGTCTTAGCAAACCATGGAGAGTCAGCCAGTAAGTAATATTTGTCCATGGTTTATGCTTCAGTTCTTGGCTCTAGGCTGCTGCCCTCCCTGAGTTCCTGCCCTGAGTCCCCTCAGTGTTGGACTGTTTTCTGGAAGTGTGAGATGAAATAAGCCCTTTCTTTCTGATCACAGCAGTAGGAAGCAAATGAGGACAAAGGGCAACTTGTGGGGGTCTACTTTCTCCTCCCACCTTTTTGTGACCTCCAGGGATTGGACTCAGGGCCTCTGCATGCTGAGCTATCTCGTCGGCCGTCTGCCGTACATTCTATACTTTTTGTTGTTAGCTAGCTTCCTTTATTTACTTATCTTGATGGCTGTGTTCAGCTAGGGACCGTTTGCCTTGATTTGTATTCATTTGTAGAAAGGCGTACATTCGAGCACCCGAACTCCCGAGCTCCCCAGCTCCCCAGCTCCCCAGCTCCCCAGCTCCCCAGCTCCCCAGCTCCTGAGCAGTGCTCCTCTTCCCACTGCTGGGCTCATCGCCCTAGGCACACTTTGGTAGGGACCGCAAGTCACAGGTAGTCAGGGGAGTAGGAGAGGCAGGTGGAAAGCCAAAGGACTGTCCCACAGCCAGGGCAGATGTATTCTGGAAAAGAGTAAAACAACATGCCTCTTTTGTGTTTTCAGGAGATGCACTTAGAGGATGCCACCCGATTCTGTCCCAAGGAAGAGAGAGAGAGTGAGCAGACTTCTTTCAGCGATCAAAATCCCAGGCAAGACCAGAAAGGGGGCTTTCGCAGCTCCTTCCGCAAGCTCTTTAAAAAGAAGTGAGTAGCCCTTAGATAAGACAGTGCAATGTCACTCATTTCCCTTTGGCAGAAGTCTGAGGTTTTACCAGTAGTAATTACTAAGTAGCCGGGTTCCACAAAGCTGTTTCAAGTTCAGTGTTTGTACCCAATTTCTGAACAGAAGCAAACTCAGCTCCCCCTGCCACTTTTTAATATCCTTCCTCCTTGTTCCCAGAGTTGTGTCCTGAGAGGAGTGAGAGAGGGGCACCCCTCTGTGGCAGATGGGTGTTCAGTGTGGGAAGTGATGAAGGAGGGTATCAGCACTCTGCCCTCAGGGGCCTCAGCAACCTGGCTCTAAGAAATGCATGTTGGTGCCTGAATGGATGGATTTGGCTCAGGTCCTAGTGAAAACTTTCAGGTGTCCATATTAGATGGGAAACAAAAGACGTTTCCTTTCTTGGTCTTTCTAAGTCTTACTGTTAAATGAAGCGTTACCTCCCAGGCATTTTGGCCAGCCCATGTTGCAGTTTGGGAGGTAGGGCTAGGCTCCAGCATAAATGTAAGAAAGAGCGAGATGACCCTTAACATTTGACCAACACATGGTTCAGCAGTCCAGCCCTTGCCTGACTGGATGGCTGCTGTTTCTACCTCTGTGGTCCTCAGGCCTCCTCCTTCCTCTACCTTAGGAACATCTCCTTGCTATTTATTTCCTCTTATTAGAGATCACTGTAAGTCATTTTCAATCTCAAGTCCATATTTTAATTCTTAGAAAAATTAAACAAAGGTGGTGTTGTTGCTTTTGGAGACTTTTTGGGAAACCACTTTCTCCTTGAAGATGGAGTTTTACTGGTCTTGGTGATAGAGGAAGAGGGGAAAGCCTACAGTTGGCTTTCTTTTTTTAAATGATTTGTCTAATTCTCCAATGGGAGGGTGATGCTGAGATAGTGGGTATCTGATTGTTGGTCCTTGCCTGTTGTTACTAGAAGGAGGAGGAAGAGGAAAGAAGAACAGCGGTTCTACAGTTAACCACAGCCCTACAGTGTGTCTCCTTCCCCGCAGTTAACCACAGCCCTACAGTCTCCTTCCAGTTTTGCTAGGCAATCCAATGCATACATGACTGTTGATGGACCCTCAAGTCACTTTATGTAGGGATTGAGGCTTAAGAACTATTTATCCCTCTCTAAGATTATGGATTTACATTTTCTTAGTCTATTACTGGCAATGATGTGAGTGGGAAGAAGTAGATACTTCACCAGTCTAAACCTGGGATTTAGATTCTAAATCCATTGAAGAACTCCAAACTCCTCAGGACACATTGCTTGAGTCTGTTGGGTACTTTTGAAGTCATAAGATTCCCAAAAGAAATGACTATTTTTGCTCACTACCATTTCTAGTGACTGAGCAGTATCTGTTGGGAAACAATCGGCAATAGATCCACCTTTGGTTCCTTTACAAATTTCTGTCTATTAAAGAGATGTAATAAAATGACCTATTCGTTATATGAGGCATTGGGACAGATCTGCCCTTTTATATCCAGAGGGCAGAACTAGCAGAAGCGAGGAGGAGGAACACTGTAATAATGCACCTGCCTAGAACCTGGTGGACTCACGAGAGAGTGGGGTCTCTGAAATAGGAGCTAGATGACTCTGCCTGGGTTCTGAGAAGTTCTCCTACACTGAGTGGGAGACTGCTGAGAAGTCATCACATGGTCCCAGTGTGTGTATTTGCTTTACCCGTGCTCTCAGTTATTGGGGCTCAGTCTGAACAGTCACTTGTTTTTATCACCCCAAACTAGATGGATATGGTGTTGGGCCTGTAATTTTAAAAGTTCCCCAAAGAGAAGGCCATAGAATCTTTTTATAGTTCCCTGCCCCCACAGACTGTGGTGTGATGCAGACAACTTGCTGTGGGCTCTCCAGAGTTACACTGGCTAATGGCCTTCAGTCCTCCTGCAACTTTTGGCATTTTTCAAAGAGAAACAGCCAGTGAGTTCTCTTAGTTCTCTCCTGGACTGGCCTGCATCTGTCATATTTCTGTCAACAATGATGGCACTGTCCTTTGTATTTAAAATGTGAAATATTATCTGAGTACAGATGATGGTGGAACACTTAGATGATTCTTCCTCTAGCAGGCCTTCCTGGCTTGGGAAGTCTGGTCTAGGACAGTCAGTACCATGCAGGCAGTTCCCACTACAGCTTTGTACTTAGGGAGCACTTTGGGGTCTTGGCAAGGGTTAAAGAAGCAACTTAAATAACTTCTACGGGTTTTTCATCTAAAGACCATGGAAAGTCTATTAAGGACCACACTCCTGTATGGTATTACAGAGAGAAAGGGCAGGGAGGCCCCAGGGTAGCATGGAAGTGCCTGTACCTTTAACTCAAATGTGAATACATCATTCTTGTATGTGTGCAGAATTCTAGACATGCATAAAGGATTATGAATGATATGGTCCCAGCCATTGCGTAGGAACTTGCAATCTGGACTCAGGAATGTGTAGGATGAAAGATAAACTATTCCATCTAGAAAAATCTATATGGAGGTTGTTAAAGACTTAAACCTAGGTTATTGTAAAAGATGAGGTACACGTAGAAAAAAAGTCAAGCCATTAGGTGTGTCACGAAGTCAGCTGGCAGCAAGCCCAGTGACCTTAAGTAGCTAAACCTGGGTATTGGATACTCCAGGGCCTGGTCTCCCAGGTCCAAATGGGCAGGCCCAAGAAATCCACCCGTGTCCCATTTGGAGCTTCCTTCCTTCCTCCCCTCTAGCCCTCTGGAGGTTCAGTCCTGTCTACACTGACACACTTTTTGTTCCATAGGGGCTTGTTTGGCTGGTGGCCCCACACACCCAGAATGCTGCTTCGGGATGAAGCTAGGCATGGAACCAGATGCAACAGAAAACCTGAGAAAGGGTTCTCTTCCCTCTGAGGCTGGGAGGGCCGAAGGATTCAAAAGGCAGAGTCAAGTTGACATCATAAAAAATATTCTGACAAAGTGCCCACGATATTTGAGGAAAAGGGTAACCCTTTTATTGTTTCCACCTCAGGCACATTTGCCCTGGGTAGATACCAGGTCGTAGATCCCTGAGAGCTGTGCGGAATTGGCCAAAATGATGACTGCTAGCTTAAAGTCTGAGCATGTTAAATGACTATACATTTTAAATGTGATTCTTAGAAGCTAGGGAACAGACCTGCTAAGAAAGGCCAATGCTTGGTTGAGGAAGATGAAAGAGAAGCTGTCCCTTCTAAGAGGATACACACAGACAGCCAGAGACTTAAACCCAGACAGTTGTTAGAGCTGAGGCAGATGCTCTTTCATCTTCATGTACGCATCTTATACTCGGGTGAGTGAGTATTCTTGATTGGGGTATAGCACCGGGGAAGAGATCCTATAAGACAGTTTTAGGGCGAGGTCTGTAGAGGGTGCTTCTGCCCTTTAGCATCAGCTTTGTGGGTAGTGAAAGATAAAGAGTACACCTTCTTAACTGGCTTCTTTACCCTATCTCTTCTTGTTAGTACTTTATCATTTATATGATTATTTCTATTCCAGCCATCCTACTCCCTCCACCAATTGCAACAAAATCTATTTTCTTCATCACATGGTCAGCAGTACTTCTGCAGGGTCCATGTATTTGAATGTCAGTGAGTCCTCTTTGGTGTCTTCTCAACAGGTTTTGTATATGCCTCCTGTGTGGGACAGTCCGTATAACAGGAGGCAGGACTCTAAGGACCAGTGATCACTTTATACTCATTTTCTCCACCTCCTTCAGACCTGCCCCATCCCCACCGTCCCTCTTGTCCGCTTTGTAGTTCCACCGTATCTCATTTGATTTCCTATGCCATTTGCAAATTCAAGAGAGTATGCTTGAAAGGATAGTAGTTTAGGTTACCTAACTCTGGCTGGGATTGCTTCTCAGCAGGTCTCTGAAGTCAGTTACTTTTAAGTGTCTTCAGAGTGTCAGGTTGTTCCCAGCACAAAACAAGTAGAAGAAATAGCTCCTGCACATTTGGAGCTTGTAGTTCAAAGTAAGGGTAACCCAACTACAAGTTAGAGTATATAGCACATAATACAAGTGCCCATTCTCCACCCTGTGAATGCATGGTTAACTGATTTGACGGATAAGACAGGTGTTCCTCCCTGCCCCCCCCCCTTCATGGGACTTTCAAGGATAGTCTTTCACATCAGAGAACCAGCTCTGGACATCAGAGATGTCTGTGGCTCTGGATTTTACCTCCCTTCCTCAACTCCAGTTTTTCAGGTTTATCTGTAGCCAAGTTGTACTTATTGACCTACCCAACTTGCATTTTTCTTTTTCTCTGTCATTTGAAGGATGGTTAGCAACAAGTCTTTTGTTTCCCCTTTCTGTCAAATTATTGGATGACTGTGTGTCAGAATATATTGACAGCCATTGTACTTTCCACAAAGAGTTCCTGACTGTCCCCTCTAGGGTCTGTTCAGATATGCCCTGCAGCCCTGCAGCTTGCCAAGATGGTGTAGGGTGTTCAAAAGTCTTTTCTGTGCTTTACAAAGAAAGGGAATAAAAAGAAAATACACCATCTCTTTCTCCTAGAGTCTGCAGATTTTTCCCCTTCTTATTTACACCCACACCCTTGGGAGAGTCCAGGTAACCTGTAGTGTGTTGAGCATTATAGAAGTCAGCTAAAATTGTCTTTTAAAAGGTGAAAATGAGCTTTGAATCATTGCTATAGTAGAATGCTGGATTTTTAAAACGATTAGTAAGTTAGCCACCAGTTACTTAGTAGTTAATTTTCAGAAATGCAGACATTTGTATTGGAAACAAGGGGGAGGTACAGTCTGTAAGAAGAGCAGTTAAAAAAATTGAGCTGAGTTTGTGGAAACTAGACAGGGCGATTTTGGCATTTGTTTCAGAAATGGGAACGCAACTGGTGAAGATTTCTGTGGTCCTTGGGGCTGGTGGTGACATCAAAGCTTTCCCATTTCCAGGTAAACTCCAGTTGCATGTGGGAACCTCCAAGTGTGACATGTTGGGTTTTGGAGAGATCAGATGTAGGTAAGAGGGAAAATGTGAGGTGAAGTCTCTTGTGTAGATAATAACTTCATTGAGAAGTTGGCATGGGGGAGAATAATTGAGAAGAGACTGCTGCCATTGAACTCCTGCTTCTTGCCCTAAAACACAAGGTCTTTCAGGCTTCCAGATCGTGGAAGACAGGGAGAGAGTGAATAGCTAGGATGCATCTTACTAACATTTGGGGCACAACTACACTAACCAGGGATGGTTTGAGCTGGAGGAGGCAGGAGTACTGAGAACTGAAAGCAAGCCTGAAGTTTTAGGGAGGATGGGAGTTTGTTTACAGGGAGTGTAGGCTGGTCCCTGAGAAGAAAAGTTTCTTCCACCCAGATACCTTCTTATCTCCTAAGTATCCAGATGCACAGGAGCTGAGGGAGAGTAATTTTCCTACGTTCACTGTGATACAGTGGGAAAGTACTCCTTTCCAGTCAGAAGTAAAGCATGGTGGGTAGCTACAGCTTCTTTTCTGATATCAAACTGAGAAGTAAAAATATCTAGTCCATTCATCGTGTTTCCAGACATCTTTAGTCTTCCTATAGGTCTAGTGTTTTCACTTGAATACTAGAAAAGGATGTTTGAATTCTTCCCAATAAGCTCAGTAAATTTAGATTCATAACTAATAAGAATAATTATTAATAGCAAGGACTTGGACTGGGGATGTATAGCAGTAGAACATTTGCATATGAAGATCCTGGGGCCAGTCCCTAGTACCACCATAGCAGAACAAAATAAAGCAACCCCCCCCCCCCCCAAAAAAATAACAACAAAATCTCCTGAGCAAACAAGGACTCAAAGATAGTGTACCAACGTCAGTGAAGGAGCTTGGAGGCCAGTTATCCTGCTTTGGTGTTTAGGGAAAGCATGCCTGATGCAGTGTGCGGAGAAACTGTTTACTTGAACAAGAGCTTTGGAGCTTCGCTTTCATACATCCCACACAAAGACTTGTGGCACTGGGTCTTGGTTAGTGGGCTAATTTTATACATTCTAGCTCCAGGTTAAAGTCAGTGAGAGGGCCCCAGGCTAGTTGTGTGAGAGGTATTTCTAGAGAGCCTCCTCCCTCTAGGGACTTCTGACATGAACAGACTGGAGAAGGTACAGAACTGGAATGGATTGCCCAACTGGTTTAACCAAGAGAAAGGAAGAATGCACCCTGGACTGGGGACTCAAATGGACTGAGTTGACTTTGATTAGTCTTGGGCTCCTTTGTGGTGGTTGAGATCACTGTACTGATTTCTGCATTCTACCAAATGTAGCAATATGTGTGGCTGGTTTCAATAAATCTTTCCTTTAAAAATGAAAACAAACAGAAGCAAGAGTTTGTAATGTGATGCCTAGATTAAATCAGGGCCCTTGATAACCATTTTAATTTAAGGTAATCTGCGGAGTAGTTATTTTATTGAATCAAAAATAGGTATTTTTGAGTTTTTATTCCTGTTAATGCTTTCACATGGTCCGCTGACATATACAGTTGTCACAGTTGTCCCCATGAAGCATGAGAGAGTCTGTATGTTCACTGCAAATTTAGATACACATATCTTAAGTTTTGAAATTCAGGGGAAGTAAAAATGATTCCAGATCTAGGAGGCAACTGTTTTACAAATGCAAAACAATTTGGATAGATAAAATATTTGAAAACAATAAAAACCAAATCAACCTGTACTTTATCTGTGTGCTGAGATTTTAGGTCCAGTGGATCAGAATACAGGGAAAAAACTAATGAGAGCCCCTCACTGGATCCTTCACCCACCAAACAAGACTTCTTCAGAAACCGACTTGCTCTTGCAAATGACCTTGACCAAGGAACAGCTGTGTAAACACATTTACAGTTGTATTGTCAAGTGGTAAGAGGAGGGTAAAAGCTTGTATATATCTCTGCAGGAATATATATATATATATATCAATGTATAAATCCCTGAGGAAAACTAATATAAATATTTACATATGAAACTAAATCAATATGAAGAGATGAAGATTAGTCTATGGTTAAGACTTGGCTTAATGAACCTCAACCCTTGGAAAAGGGAAATGAAGACTTTTCCCATCATTACGGAAAACCAGTAAATCTGGAGGAAAATAAATGTTTGTGAGAACAAAAGCTTGCACCTTGAGCTCATTCCCCAAGAAGAAGAATAAGCATGTTCATTTTTAGCATGGATGTGAATTTTGTGCTTCCTAGGAATTTATTATTATTATTATTTGTTTTTTGAGACAGAATTTCTCTGTGTACACCTGACTGGAACTCACTCAGTTAGGCCAGGCTGGCCTCGAATTCATAGAGACCTACCTGCCTCTGCCACCTAAGTGACTTCCTAGGAATTTTAATTCATAGCTTATGAATTCATCCATTGTGCTTAAACCAATATACCCTATGTGAGGGTCCAGTTGTGTCTTGCTTCATATCTTTCCGAACCTCAAAGCAAAATATCACATCCTTTAAGGCAAAGGATTGACGGAACTGTATTTTACTTGTGCAGACTAGCACTCTAGAAAATTTGTCCTTCAACTATGGATTCAGAAGCTTCAAAACTTATAAGATACATTGCCCTCTAGCTTGTTCTGTGATTATGGAAAAATCAGTAAAGGGAACAGGTGGAGCAAAAACAAAGAAAGCTTCTCTTCGTGTGGGCTGCACTGAGCACGGCAGCCGTTGTAGATGCAGTAGGTGGTGTCATACCCACAAAGGCCCAGATAGACCAGGGAGAGAAAAGACTGCCTTAGTTATGCTCGGACCTCCGAGGGCTCTCAGGATGTTAGGATAAGTGATCTAGAATGGTTAAACTCCCGATGGCACCTCCTTCTAGTCTATCACATATTCATTTCTCTATCCACACCAGCTCCCTCTATTCTGTATACCAAGCATGCCCCCGCCTCCGGACTCTCAAACCAGCTCTTCTTTTAGTCACTTGGATGTCTCATTCTTTCACCTCTTTCAAGTTTCTATGTCTGCATGGCTGACTGATGATCACATTTAAATTTCACACTTCCAGACCCCTTCTTCTCTTCATAGCAGCTACATTTTTAATGTATAATATTCTACTTATCAAACATTGTCTGCATCCTCTCACTAGCTTATAAATCCCATGAATGGATTTTTCTTCATTACTATGTTTCTAACACCAGTTCTGTAAAAAGATCTATATTTGTTTATGCCTGAAGTCAAATGAGCTCTTACCAAATGCTTATAATTTCAGGTCATTCAAAACCAATCTGAATAATAACAAACAGCACAGGAAGCCATAATGAATCAAATCTTAGGATGTCAGGATAGCTAACCTCCTAGAAATTCTCTAAAACAGGCAAACTGCAAACATGTCCTTTATACTTTTATTTTTCATATTTTAGTGCTTTGTGAAATGCACTGCGCCGTAGCCACATCACCTTTCAAGTTCATAGGAACTTGATATTGATGAGCTGTGCATTCCTGTGCTCAGCAGTGGAAGCAGGGTAAACAGGCCTGCCCACGGCACCTGTCCGTCCTGACACAGAGAATCTTCCATTTCTTGAGTTACTAAGGTACAGTTACTAAACAGTTGATAGTTTTTCTTGCCACCTTATCAAAGGTCCTAAAAGGTTAGCATGACCACAAACTGCTTTTCTAAAATTATATTCTGTCAAAGGTGCAAAAAAGCAGGCTTGGCTGGGGAGCTGGTCTTCTTGGTTCTGTTTTTGAGATCTAAGTGCCCTCCTCTGTGATGCCTAGCATTGACTTTTGATGATAAAGTACAAAGGTAAATCTCTTGGTTAAAGATCAGAATTAACATTTGGAGAGCAAAATCAAAATCTCTGATTAATTACAGTGTCAGTATTACTTACAGATAGTAAACCTGTTACGTAGAAAAACATTCAATAACGCATGCTGGAATCACCATTTTAGGCATCCCTGAAGGCATTCCTACAGATACTAGGAACACTGAGTCTTAGTCCCAGGACAAACTTGACACTTTGCCTTATTTGTCTGTCTGTCTGTCTGTCTATCTATCTATCTATCCTTTCCTTCTCTTTTCCCTCTCTTTGTGGATGAAACTGGGGCTTCACACATGCTAGGCAAGCCTCTACCATTGAGCTACACCCCACTCCTTTTTTTATTCTGAGACAGGTGCTAGGATGGCCTTGAACTCAGATACACCTGTAGTCCCGGTATACCTTTTAATCATCTTGACTCAGTCTTTTATGTAGCCGGGATCAAAGACCGGCACCATCAGCTCTGGCTTGCCTTTATTTCAAAATAAATGAGCTGAATCTAATTATCTTTTAATATTTTTGTTTTATATTATACCTTGAGTGACCCTATATTTGCACTGTTGATCTTCCTGACACCAGCAGGTCACAGCAAGAACTGCCTGGTAGGGACCTGAAACACCCAAGTATGTTCTTTTAAAAATACAATTGCCTTCTGAAACTTAATCCTGTGTATAGTCACTTGACTGATTTCTATCCCAAGCCTCCCTGTTACAATAATAGGATTTGACACTAAACTTACTGTATCCTTTTTAACTTGTTAGAGGAAATAGTGTTCCCAGAAGAAGACCATGATAGAATGTAAAGTATTTCTATGTGAAGGTATATAAGCTAAATTAGAATCACTAACAACTTCAAAATACTGCCCTCTAAAGTAAATGCATGCAAAAACAATACACTGTGGGCTATGTAAGGCATTTTTCTTTATTATTTTCAATTTATCTTAGTAATGCCAGAAAAATAACAGCCATTATTTTCACTTTTAACACAAACCAAATACTGCTGCACATAGAGTACAAAGATCACCTACAAACATTGGTTAGGTACAAAGGCCATTGGATGTATAGACCACACTTTGTTCTTACATCAGAGTAAGACTGACAGAGCATTTTTGACAGTTACTTTAGCAAATAACCATGCTACTAAACAAAGGCAAATACACATATATACACAGACACATCTCAACTAAAATTATACATGTCACTTTGACAAACAAACTCTCTGGTTTCACCAGATATTTGCACCCCCAAGTCCCCTGCCCTAATCCCACCCCCAAATGCTGACTTGATCTGAAAAAAAAAAAAAAGAGAGATGTTCTTAATTAAAGGCACAGTTGGCAGCTACTGAAAGTGGCATGCATCTGGCATGGGTGCACTCTAAGCCACACTGCATATAACTTGCATCTTTATCTGGGTTTGGTAGTTCAATGTTGCCCACCTTTAGCTTGCTTATTTTATAATTTTTCAGCAACTGGCTACTTAATGCACTATTTTTATTAAAGGCAAAAGGGAGATTTGCTCACAGTTGACAGAAAATGCACTTTATGGTGTCAAAAATGGAAAATAAGGCATGAAACTTACAAAAGAACTTAAAACTGCTTTTGTTTCAATTATCATGTAGAGTTCATGCTTTTTTTCTTAACTAGAACACAGAATACTTCACTGGCTCATGTGAAAAGGACTATGAAATCATTTTAAGTTAGTACTGTTCAAAGGGGGAAAAATTGAATAAAGGCATCACTTTCCTTCACCTTTTACTGCATAATTCTCTTTCAGCCAAACTGACAGTCACCTTGTGATGTGTAAAAATTAACGTGCAGCACACAGAACCTGCACAGCATAGTCACACGATAGAGATGGAAAGAGCATGCACACCTACCCAGCAGCAGAATACCAAGACATACATGGTTGCCTTGGTTTTGAATCTGAAGAGGATAAGAAAGATTCTCTTCTGTGTGTTCTCTAGCTGGAGCAGCATCCCCACGTATCTTCCTGAGCCACTAAATACCCCTAATTCAGGCCATTATATTAAGATAATTAAATGACATGTGAGCACAACTTAATTACATGATCATTATGATAAATGCCACTTTGGGTTTGCATTAAGGAAGAATCTGGAATCATAGCATAGCCTCCAACTTAAATAGTACTTTAGTGAATGCCCTGCTGATTATGTTTATATTGCATACTCTTGGCTCAACTCAGATCCACTAAAACATTCTTGAGTTAGAGGATAGTAACCTACTAAACTCACAATTTGATGCCCAACAGCCTTTATTTAAGCAAGAAATTTTAACTAGGTAGACTTTGAATATTTGTCATTTTCATCTTCACATTTGAAAGACTAGAAAGAGTAAACAGCCCATCTTTTAAAAAATTTAGAAACATACACTTGTCTATTCCTGTTTTCCAAGTGCTTAGCTCTGAAAAGCATTTCTGTTATTAGTTATGAGCCCACCAAGACTTTACTGTGTGGTTCAAGGATAAGAAAACATTTGCTGACAGTTCATTTTCTGGAAGAAATGTCCCATATTTGGGGATGTAGTTAAGCAAGTGCACTGGCTGCCTCGTAATGTCCTGGGTTCAGATGCAGTTCTGTAACGGTGCATTTGTCTTCTGCCACTTCTTGTCCCTGAAGAAGTACATTTTAGTTATGACTAAGGGTAAGTTTGTTAACCAGATGTTTAACTCAAGGACACAGCTTCCTCACTTTCACCCCAGGGCATCCAATTAGAACTTTTAAAATCAGTTACTACAGAAAGTATTTTTGCCCAAATGTCATATTTAAGAAGAAAAATACCCTCCATCGGATGCATACAAATGGTTGTATGGTGAAGCGGTCTACTGGAACAGTCGGTTAGAGAGTAGTTCCCTTTGGGAGAAACTAACTCCAAATCTGGGCACTCCCTCCCTTGTTGGCTCAAGCAGAACTAAAGGGGTTATCACGCTGCTGAAGGCAACACTTGCCAGAGAGATACTGAATATTCTAATGTTGCTTTTCTTCGGTTCTCATTTGAAGTAGGGATGGGATGATCAAAAAGTGATCAGTAAGCCATGGGAATTTGGGGTGTCATCACAATTGTATGGAACACATTAGTAAGTAGGCCTACCTAGTGACTTTTGCTGAATGAATGGTCTTATGGACACTTTGCATCCAAGATGGGATTTGAAATTAACTTTTGAGGACACTTTTAAAAGAGGAGACATTTTGCAAAGAGAAATGGCTACCATAATAGGAATAGTATAGACACTAAATGAAAAAGATTCAACTCTAACAAATAAACAAGGACATGATAGGATAGACTGCTTAATGATGATGCAATTAATGTCTTTTCTGATCTTAGAAGACTATACACTGTACTATTGGGATGTACATTTAATGCTCTAATAAATATCACAAAAATTATTGA